GGTTGGCAACCAGTGTACTGTAAAAAGAAATGGTAACCTACTGTAATGAGATCTTCTGCCTAGTCAGTCATGGATCGAAAGAGACATAATCACCCAAGTTTGTATCACATATGGCACTTAACTGGGTGATTGTAAGTTACTCACCATCAATTCCAGAAATAAAGAGTTCATAATTTTCACTTAATGATTACAGATGCTGAAAATTTAGATATGCCAGAGAGAAGTCATAATTGTTTCCTTTAAGTGAAAAAAGTGGAATTTCTCAATAAGAAAAGTTAAAAATCATATGCTAAGATCTATTGTAAGAATAAACCTTCTGTTTTACATCTTTCATTACAGAACAGTTAAAGAATATATTACTTTATTATTGCTTATTGTTGTTAATTTGATATTGTGACTAATTTATAAATTAAAACTTTATTTTATGTACATAGAGAGAGAGTATAAGGTTCAGTACTATACACAGTTTTAGACAAAAACTGGAGGTTTTCAAACATATTCCTAGCAGATGGGTGTGGGGGAGATTAGTGCAGACAATCATAGTAATACAACTATAAGTACAGACTATGAAAAAGGATTTTGGTTTTTGAAGACAATTTGACAAAGTTAAACCAATTGAAATTATGACACCAGATCTGCTTTATATTTCTAAAAGAAAATAATTTACAAATAAAATTAATCTCATCGTTGACAGATGAAATCTAACAGAAATAAATAAACTATTCAAGACTGTGTGCATTAGAGTGTAATGTGGTATTTATCTTCTCTTCTGGAGAGATCTCTATAAAAGGAGTAGATAACACATTGTAACAATGGTGATGATACTGAAGTTCCCAAAATTTCAACTGAATGAAGAATCCACTTCTCTCAGTCAAGAATGGATTAAATGGACTACCAGACTTGAAAATTTTGTGGCATTGGATATCAACATAGACAAATGACAAAACACATTGTTACTACATTATGCTGGGAGCAAGTGATATTTACTACACATTGAGAGACACAGAGGAGACTTATGGTGCAGCTAAAAACAAGTTGTCTGTATACTTTTAGCCATCAAAAAACATTACTTTTGAAACATACAAATTCAGAAAATTAAAACAAGTAGAGTTGATTGATAAATTTGTGTTGCAACTTCAGCAGGAGGATACGTGTTGTGAATTCTACTAATTAAATAGAGAAATAAAAGATCAGATTCCTTTTAATTCTGATCCACTTTTACAGGAGGATCTTAATTTAAATGACCTCTTAAAAGCTGCACACTATCAAAATGTCTTCTCTACATGCTGCACTTATTGAAGCTAGTCAAAAAATGGAAGCTGTATAATAAAGTGAAATTCAAATCAGGTAAATTCAGCCAAAATGCTCAGAGAACACAGTCTCATTTGTGTTTTAATTGTGGTGGAAAATGGCTCCTTCATGGTGGCAAAAACACAATTGTGATAAACATAGCCACTTTTCAAAAGTATGCAGGTTGAAGTTCAGACAGTTCTTGAAGAGAGACTCTAATAACGGTTTGTAATATTAAAAATAAGAATAAACTAATGGGAAATAAAAAGAAATAAAACTGACACCAAAAATTCAAGTAAAGATAAATAGAATAGAGTTGATTATGCAGATTGACTCCAGAACTGATGTAAATATAATAGACTTGCAGGATTATGGAAAGCTAAAAAAGATCATTACTTTGAGAAAAAATATATGCCAAATTTTTTACATATATGGAAAGTGCTCCATTGAAAAAACTTTATATACCTTTTAAAAGCACTGAACCCAAACATAAGCTACATGTTGCTGATTTTTATGAGGTGGAAAGTAGTAAGGGGTCATTAATTAGTTCAAAAAAGCAGTAGACATTGGCATAATAAAAAAGGTTAGCAACTCACATGGATAAATTCCTTGGGGAAAAAAAAAAAAATCATCTTTTTCATGGAAAAGCAAAATGAATGGTGTACAGGTCAAAGAAACACATAGATAAAAAATGTTAAACAAAATATTAAAAATGTCTCCTAAAATATTCAGCGTGTTCTATTTCCCTTAAGAGAAAAAAAAAGTTGAGGCACAACTCAAACCTCTTGAAGCTGCGAGCATAACTGAGAAAGTACATGAACCAACTGATTGGGTCTCACCTATTGTTATTGTTCCTAAAAAAAGGACGGTGATATTAGACTCTATATAGATATAGTTCAACCAAATAAAGCTATAAAAAGAACAAGACATTTTATTCCTACCCCTGAGGTGGTTAATCATCAGCTAAATGGATCAAATCATTTCTCAAAGTTGGAACTAAATAATGGTTTTTACCAAATCAAGTTACATCCAGAATGTCAAAATTCTTCTCATGTTGGCCTTCATTGATATTGTCTATTGAACTTTGAGATGAATTTGGCCACTAAAATCTTTCATGAAGAATTACAAAAAGAAAAACATTTTCAGATATACCAGGTGTGTTTAACATTCACAATGATATTTTTATCTTTGAGAAGGACAAAAAGCCTGATGATGTAGCACATGAAAAGTTTTTAAAAGATTATGTGCCTTTGGACTGACTTTTGAATCAGCAGAAATGCATTTTTAATTCTGATAATATAGATTTCTTAGCCCTGATGCAAACAAAATAGAGGCTCTACAATAGGCTGAGACACCAAAAAAAAACTGACAAAATTGTGTTTTTTATTTGTTTGTTTTTTTGTGCCTTTTATACAGAACTTTTCTTCAAAATCTGCAAAACTTCACAAACTACTTCATAAGGAGGCAAAATGGCAAGGATACACCAAAAAACAATACAACTTGAAATATGAATAATCTTAGTAATAAAATGGTGGATGTCTTAAAACAAGTGAAAACCTTTGAAAATTATCAAGAATAAATCATAGAAAATCAGTGTCAATAACTTCTAAATATCACACACACACACACACACACATAAATCAAAGGAATGAATTAACTTGTAAATTGTAAACATAGTTTACGTTTTACCTTACAATTTAGTTAAACTTTGGAATTTGATTGTGTTTTTTCTTATATTTTAGTTGTACTGCATTGCACTATATATGGCTTATCTTTCTATTTGTAAAATTAATTTGAATTTAATATAATTTTGTATTAATCTCCTGGTAGTATTAGTAATATCTTGTACAGATGTATTGGTATTTAGTTGGTATTTTTGACATTTTACATTGATTGGTTAGTGTTATTAACATCTTATATGAAGAATCTATTCAACAGTTGCATATTAATTTACCAAATAATTCTATAATGTTTTAATTATTTACTAGTTTCTTAAAGAAACAATTTATCAACTATAAAATATTTTTATGTAGGAAGCTCACAAAGCATATAACTTGTTTAGTATTTTGCTAAATTAGCTCTACAACCCATTTTTATTTCTTAGGTAATGGCATTGTCTAGTTTGTATAATTTATGTAACCATTTATGTCTAGCTGTTGTTAGCTGCCAATCTACAGGCCATGACCCATTTATAAAAAATAATTTTAATTTTTAAATTTTTTGCTTCTTCACTTTTAATTAATTTAATTACATTGGTTGATCAGAGTAAAACCCACAAACCTTATAAACCCCTCCTCTTTTCTTTTTTCATAAAAAACAGGTTGTATTTTGCTTTTAAATCTAAATAAATCATTCACTCACCAGTAATTTACAATCACCTGATGAGGTGCATTTGATACACATCAAAACACAACTGCAATTGTGTAACAACTTTGGCATGTTTTCAATGCAAGATCCTAAAATAAATAATATTACTCTACTTTGTAGTGAAACCTCTTTTAAATTAAATGTTACAAATGTTGGAATTGCACTCTATTCGTTCTCATCTTACCTGGATATAAGAGAATAATTAAAAATTCAAGGTCCAATTAGCTTCTTATAATCTACGCAAAAATCCTTTAATTGGATCAAGAATTTTTCACCTTCCCCTAACGTGTGTGTGTGTGTGTGTGTATCCTCAAGAGGTGAAAATAAAATAAAGAAAGTTTATATGCCTGCTTTCTTCCATGAAAGTCTTTTATGATTTATTTTTAATGCTGAACAGCAACAGTAAATTAAATAAACATGAAACATTGTCTGAAAATGAAATTCACAATATTACAAGCCCAAAGAATATATTAAAAATCTCTATATGATATGAAAATATTTATTTTCCAACAATTTCAGTGTTTCAGCCATGAATTAATTACCAAGATGGGGAGGGGGTCGCAACACTGGGATTTGAAATAACCAGATTAAGTCATGCTAGGTCTGGATTAACAGTGGATAATGCCTAGCCATATTTAAAACCAAAGCACAACCCTTTTTCTGATTTACATACAATATATAAATAGTTTAGCTGAAAGTTCTTAAATTATATAAAATTTAAAAACTTTCAGCTATATATATATATATATATATATATATATATATATATATAATTTAAGTAGCTTATATATATATATATATATATATATATATATATATTATAAATTAAATGATTTGAAAATAAGGTTCCATCGCTACACATTTCTTTTCCTTTTTTTTACTATAAAAATGTATGTGTGTGTATATATATATATATATATATATATATACACACACACAAAAACAAACAAAAAAACCCCCTGGAAATCCAGTAACTGACACAATTATGCTCTATAATTAGATTTTCCAAGTGGTTTAAGTAGGAAAAATTCTTTTTTCTTTAATTCTTAATGGAGAACATGAGATTAAATGAAAACTATTAACAAAATTTATCATTTGATACGAGGAAAGAGAAAGAAATAAAAGAAAGAGAAAAAATAAAGAAAGAAAAGACAGAAAACTGAGGCATTTTTGAAAAATTTGTATGTTTTTTTTTTTTCCTATTCTTTCCAGAGTACATGGAGCTGTTTGTTTGTTTATTTGTCTAGCCAACTTCTCCTGTGACCAAATTCAAAGTATTTCTCATTGCCATTTTAATTTACTACAGAGACGCACACATATATACACTGAACAGCAGAATTAAC